CTGTTTTACAAGTTGTGAGCAATCTGGTGTCTCTCCAGCTTGTCGATACAATTTTTGTGCCTTCTGTCCCTTTGATATCAGTTAGCGACCCAAGAAGATGGCACCAGCATTGGCCACTGGGTTCATATTCTAGGCTACAGGGAGGAGGAAGGGCTGGGACAAGGGGCGCATGCCAACTAGCTTTGAAGAATGGCCCCTGGAGGTGCGGCACATCGATTGGGCTTGGATCTCATCAGCCAGAACTCAGGTATCTGGCCCCATAGAACTGCAGACGAGTCTAAGAAACTTTTTTTTTCTTCTTTGTGTCTGGGCAGCTATGGACTGAAGTAAGAAATCCAGCATTTTTTGTGAAAGGGGAAAGAAAGCTTATCGGTAGTCAGCCAGCAGTGTCAGCCTCATTGTCCTCTAACCCCGAATAAACCGGAGGGACGTGGGGTGGAACTTTGTTGAAGAGCAATCTAAATGAGGCCGACTGAGGGTCATTCATATTCTGCCCTCACTGCTGGCCTGACGGGCAGTTCATCTCGGCCCTCTGGGGAACTGCAGTTCTTCCTCCCAGCCTGCATTTATTATGGAGCCCTTTCAGCTCCTGTATGATGTTAAAGCTTTGAATAAAACACAAATGTTCTCTGAAAATATTAATGGATTAATTCACTTGATTCATCTATGTCCAAAAGAACATAGATGTTCAAATTGGACAGAATCGCATTGAATTCTGGCTCTGTCATTTATTAGGTGAGTGAATATGGGAATAACTAAATAGTCTGGCCTCAGTTTTCTCATCTGTAAAATAAGTGTAATAATGCCTTACACTCTTTATGTATGTATATAGTAAATTCTATAATGTTTACAGGATGTACGGTTGGTGATGAGAAATGATCTCTTCTTTGCCTTTCCTACTAGCTGTGCTCATAAGTGCTCCAAACAGAATCTTATGTTATCAGAGCTCCGGGCCCCCAGCAGTTGCAGCCAGTGATGGGTACATTTTAATAGAGGGTGGTCAGAATTATTCTGGGAAGAGGGAAAGCATTTGAAAGAGCTAGATGGTGGCTATGGTATAAGGCCCCGACCAGTATTAGGTAGGATTAGAACTCCCAACAACATCCATGTTTATTTTGATATGTTGCTGTGATAGTTTAATCCAGTCATTTTAGATTAGAAGTGTTTTAGTATAATCTGAAATACAACCCATTAAACTTTTACCTTTTGAAAATTGCCAGCCAGCAGGTGAAACCAGCATCCATTTGGAATGACCCTCAGGATATGTTGGAACAATGGTGTGGCCATCCCAAATGAGAGCAACACGCAAGGCTCAAGGATGGAGTGGGGGTTGGGGATAAGTACCACACATTTTTTTATTATGAAGAAAAATTAAAAAAAATAGTGACTTTACTTTTATCTTGGGTGTTTTGAAACATCAAAACAACCTCCTTAAATGAGTCATGTCAAAATGTACTACTTGAAATGTAGTCTTAGTGCTAAGTATGTATGGTGTATGTGCTGCCTTGGAAAAGACTCAGCCAGGTAGGGGATATGCAGTCATTTAAAACATTGGGAAATCACCACTGAAACACTGGAAAAACACAGGGACCCACAGACCCCTCCAGAGGCACTTAGAGCGATCAGCATGCTGGGTGCCCCGGGTGCATGCCACTGCACTCACTGGCCGTGTTCCTGCACTTCTGAATCTGTTCAACTGTACGTGCTGTGATCTAGGGTGGAGTTGGCAGTGAGTGGTGCCTGCCCCCGTAAAAGACTGTTGTGAAGGATTGCTCCCTTCTCCCTGGTTTACTGCTGCCATCTCCATGCTGTATGTGAGTGCAGAGAAGCAATAATGCACTAACGATGCCTTTCAGGGCTGTGTAAATCCTTTCCATGATGAACTGGGAGCATCATGGACAAGATAAATGCCCTGGAAGGGGGAGCTCTCTGGGAGGAAAAGCACCCTGACATATGTCATATAGACACTTAGAGAAATGATTCTCAGAAGAGTATTGTTCTAGACCTCAGAATTTTGTTTCATATTATGTTTGTGGTTTAAATGCCTTCTGTCTGGTAATGCCTAAGATTTTAAGAGGAAAGCAAACAACAAAAAAAATCAGGTAAATGTGGCTGTATATCTTGTCCTTGTTACAATACAACAGCGATACTCTGTGTCAGCTTTGTGGTTCAGAAATAGTGATTTCAGAAGTAAATAAAATAAGGTAGCCAATATAAGAAGAAATATAGAATTAAAAAAAATTACTGATACATGACACTACACTTACAGAGCCACACCTGAGAAAGCAGTGAAGTGAGGATTTTGGAAAAGAAATAAGATAACACCACCTACACGTGTTACAAACAGTTCTTGGACAAGAGATATCAATTCTAGTGTTGTGTATCATAATTGTGAGGTGTAAATAAAACACTATGGTAACAAAAAGCATGTGACTTTTATGTGGGGAAATAAAAATAGCTTATTGCCTACTATAAATTGGGGCATAGCCATCATGGGAGGCCAATGTTAGAACAGGGAATAAATATAGCCAAAATTTTCAGTGTGAAAGTTCATCTCAAATAAAACTGTGGATTAAATCTTGAACCCTGAAACTAACTATATTAATTTGTTGAGTTTATAGATGAACTCAAAATATATACTTTTCTTCCAACAGAAATAAAACTTGTTTTATTCCCCCTGTTTTCAAACCAATCAGGGAACCGGTTTGAACTGGACCTGAGCTTAAATTCAGTAAAAATCCAATGCTATAAAACGCCAAAAATATATCCTGGATCAAATAAAAATTGTATTTTGTGTTACCTCTTGAGAGGTTCAAACCATCAAAATATTTCATGAACAAAAATTATTAGGCAGTAGAACAGAGGCAAATTGCTCCTTTCTCCTTTTAAACATTTTTTTTTCCCAAAAGAAAAGATGGCTTTTCTTTTGAAGTCACTTGCCTCTGGTGTCCCTTCAAGCATTTAGATTTTCCATTTGGTTGTCACACAGGACATTTTGCATTATAAATATTTGTTTAACACATGCCAGTTTTCTCATTTCTCCAATATTTGAGTTCATCTTGGGCTTCCTTGTTGGTTTTTAATTGAAAGCTTCATTGAGTAAATACACTGGACTCTTGAGTCTAGATTCATCATTTCACTGAGGGCACAGCTCACTAGTGCCCTGGGAGGCTGTGTTTGCTGACTGACTGCTGAGAATTTAGACAGGTGCTCTCATAGAGTGAGGATAGAGGAAGATAGATGCAGAGAAAAAGAGAAAGCTGGAAGTCGATTATGTACCTCTCTTCATAAATGTTTGCATATGTCAAGGAGGTTGGGAAGTTTTGTTTTTTTAAACATGACGGATATTCAGTTTGGTTTAGGTGGAAGAGATATCTAGTGTGTCTGATAAATCACCCTGGTGACGTGCAAAAAAAAATCACTGAGACATTATTGGGACAGGGAGAATGATAACTGGAGAGATGTGCATGTCTTCAAAATCATTTTTCAAGCACCTTCATCTGAGCTTGCCCCATTTTTAAACTGGATGAACATTTTTCAGCACCTTCATTCTCCCCAAGAAAACATTCCCATGTTAATTTACAGGCTACTTAGTAATCACTTGGTGCACCTCAGTGTTTGGTATTTAGTACTACATTACTTCTGTTTTATCTTCCCATCAAATGCATCAAGCTGAATCACAAAATACTACATGAAGACACAGGCACACACAAAAAAGGAAGGAGCAGCCCTGACACTGTGATACTGGCACTGAGTTTGCTCTGTGCTGGAGCTGGGTGAGCCCAGGCAGGCAAGATTGAGCTTCATTCTGAGGGGGTGGGGGAGGAAACTTGCAGTTCACCTGGGATAAAGTCGCTGAACATTTTCTAAAACTCCTGGATGAAAGATGCCTACTAAACATATCAACTTTATTTTGTTATTTTCACTTTTTATTTATATTTTTAAATCATTTAAGCATTTTTTAAATTACAGCTGATAGACAATATTATATTAGTTTCAGACATATACCCAGTGATTAGACATTATATAACTTACAAAGTGATCAGCTCCTACCCATCTGACAACATATGTAGTTATTAAAATATACTGACTTAACATCCCCATGACTATTCTGTAACCTGCAGTTTGTGCTTCTTAATCCCTTCACGTTCTTCACCCATCCTACCAACCCTCCTCCCAATCTGGCAACTATCCAAATGTCCTCTGTATCTATGAGTCTGTTTCTGTTCTGCTTGTTCATTTATTTTTGTTTTTTAGATTCAATTGTTGATAGATATGTATCGCTGCCATTTTGTTTATATATATTTTAGATAAGGCCCTTTAACATTTCATGTAATACTGGTTTTGCGGTGATGAACTATTTTAGTTTTCTCTTGTCCGGGAAGCTCTTTATCTGTCCTTCAATTGTAAATGATAAATTAACTGGGTAATCTTACTCGTAGGTCCTTGCTTTTCATCTCTTTGAATATTTCTTGCCAATTCTTTGTGGTCTGCAAAGTTCCTGTTGAGAAATTAGCTGACAGACTTATTGGAGCTCCCTTATAGATAAGTAATTGCTTTTTACTTGCTGCTTTTAAGATTTTTTTTCTTTTTTTTAAAGATTTTTATTTATTTATCTTTAGAGGGGAAGGGAAGGAGAGAGGGAGAGAAACATCAATGTATGGTTGCCTTTCATGCGTCCCCTGCTGGGAACTGGCCTGCAGGGAACTGGCCTGCAACCCAGGCATGTGCCCTGACTGGGAATCGAACCACGATTGTCTGGTTCACAGGCTGGTGCTCAATCCACTGAGCTAAACCAGCCAGGGCTAGATTTATTTATGTATGTATGTATGTATGTTTGTATGTATGTATTTTTTAACTGTGTCTTGCTGTGGGTCTCTTTGGGTTCATTTTGTTTTGGACTCTCTGCTTTTTGGACTCGTATGTCTATTTCTTTTACCAGGAAAATAAAGACGCTTTCTGTCACTATTTTTTCAAACAGGGTTTTATTTTTTCCTCAGAATTGTCCATGTCAGTGTGTCACGATTTTACCCTCATGAAGGCAAAATCAAAAATGATCAACACAAGATTTTATTTCAGCAGGATAATGGCAGTACTGCCACAAAATGGAGCCCTGCAATCAAACAGGATTTGAATTTCTTGCCCTCTCTCTTCTCCTTTCAGCATGCTCTTGTTGTGATTTTTGCTATGCTCGAGGTTGTCCCAGAGGCTCCTTACACCTTTTGCTTTTGATTCTATTTTTGTTTTGCTATTCTGATTGAGTGTTTTTTTGCTTCCTTATATTCCAAATCATTGATTCAATTCTTCGCGTCATCTTTTCTACTGTTGATTCCCTGTACATTATTCTTTATTTCAGTTAGTGTATTCTTCATTTCCTATTGGTTCTTTTTCATGGTTTCCATCTCCTTTTTTTGTTACGCTGTTGAAGTGTTCTCTAAGTTCCTTGAATATCCTTATAATCGTTGTTTTGAACTCTGTATCTGTTAGTTCACTTGCCTCCGTTTCATTTAGTTCTTTGTCTTGTTCTTTCACTTGGGACCTGTTTCTTTGTATCCTCATTTTGACTTCTTCTTTGCGTTCATTTCTATAGATTCGGTAGCACTACTACTGCTACTGCCTCCCGGGCTTGGTGGAGTGGCCTAATATAGTAGGTGTCTGGTAGGGTCCAGTGGCACAGCCTCCCTGTTCACCAGAGCTGGGCACTACAGGTGTGTTTCCACCCCTCCCCTTCATGGGTTGTGTGCATGCTCCTGTTGTAGCTGAGATTAGATTTCTGTCAGCACATCAATGAAAGGAATTTTCCCCCAGATGGATTGGCTGTGAGGACTGGCCTGGACCACATTGGAGGATCACCCCCAACCCACAGAGCAGAATTTACTTCAACAAATCTCAATAGGTCTCTGGTGTCTGATGAGTCTACCCCTTGAATGCATTGCTTGTGACGGTGGTGGGGTGGTGTTTTGACATTGTCTCAAGTTATCCTCTAAGTGTGCTGGCTCTGGAACCACCTGGGAAATTTAAGCCAAGGTCAGCTGTCACCTGCGATCTGCCCTGGGCCTCCTGGCATGAGCTACAGAGTGATCTGCAGATGCCTGCTACTTGTGCTGTGCTTAGAAGTACCTAGGAGAAGCTAACCTTTAAACCAAGGCTGGCTGCCACTAGTGCCAGGCTTGGGCCATTTAGCAAGAGGTATAGGGCATGCTGAGGACAAATACTGCTCGTTTGAGAGATTTTAGGAAATTCTGAAGCATGAGCCAAGTCAGGCTATTTTATAGAAAGACCACTGGAAACAGCTTGGATGGGCCTGAAAATTGGGTGGGGTTGGGTGTCAGGGAATCACCAGGGTGGGGTGAAAGTGTTAGCCAGGTTGATGGAGACTTAGATATGGTGCCTACTTGCTAGCTCTGTGGGGTGAAGGCTAAGAAAAGGAACAATGGCCTCTGCCAGCAGTTCTGCCTCTCCAACTCTCACTCTGATGCCAGAGAGGTCAGTTCCTCCCCACAGGTGGTGCCTTTTAAGCTGCTGCCTCAGCACCGGAGCTCAGAGGGTGTGAGTCCCAGTTAGCCTGTGTGTAGATCCTATAAGAGGAATGCCCAGGACCCCAGAAGCCCCTTCATCTCACTTAGCCACAATATTTGTTGATTTTTGCAGCCAGAGTTATAGAGTCCTCTCTTCCTGGCACTGAAACTCTGGGCTGGGGGGTCTGGTGTTGGGCTGGGACCCCTTAGAGGGGCCTCCACAGAAGAGATTCCCCTCCCGATTTTTATCTACCACATGTGGGTGTGGGACCAGCCTTTTCTGTGTCTCTGTGCCTCCTACCAGTCTCTGTGTGGCTTCTTTACATCCTTAGTTGTAGGACCTCCACTCAGTTAGATTTCAGGCTGTTCTGAATGATGTTTTTTTCTGTAGTTTAGTTGTAATTTTGATGTGGTCATGGGAGAATGTGAGTACTGCATTTACCTATGCCTTCATCTTGACCCAGAGTAATTCACTTTTACTCTGACTTGTGTTTGGCGTGTATATCTTTAATATACTTTGGATATGATCAAGGACAAAGCCAAGCTTGCTCACCACTTTTGGTCCTCTTGTTCTGTCCATTGGAATCAGAATGCTGGGCTGATATGATTGTAGGCTTATTATAAAGATAAACTGTATTGTCTTTGTTAGAGAGAAATTGTATACTGTTAATTCATGTTTCCCTAGAAGGAGAAATCAGTCCACTTTCCTCCCAGCAGGGCAGGGTGGTGTTGGGGTGACATTTCTGTCTCTCCCTATAAGCTCTTCACTTAGTCTTTCAACCAGCAAGAAGAATGACTTACTTGATTCATGATATTGTTGAGAGATTAACTTCTGTTGGATCTCATTACCTAGGGGAGAAGGCTAAGACATATAAAAGACAGTGCTTGCCCGTCATTCTTGGAATCTCAATTTGTTGATTAAGCTTGTGAATGGGCTTTCCTCTGCACCTCAGAATTTTATAAATGAGGTTGATGGTTTGATTCCTTTCTTGTCATTAGTTGTTTGTGTTTATGCCTTTGCTCTACTGTGATGGAGAGGAGTAATTGGTCTTCCCAGCGTGTCCACTCTCTAGGTGCTGTCCCATGGCTGCCTGGGGCTTACCACTGTTGAGAGCTTTGTAGGACTTACCTGCAGCAGCTTCTGAGCCATACTGATAATCAGAATCACTTGGAACATTTGTTAGAAATACATATCCTTTGTACCAACTCCAAAGCTAGTGAATCAGCTTTCACAAAGCAGGGAATAGAATTTTGTATTTTGAACAAGTCTGGCAAATGACTGTGATGACCAGCTAAGTCTGTAAAGGATCTTTTGACACTTTTCCCAACATCATTCTCCACAATAAAGGAGTTCCCATCAGACTGTCAGCGGATTTCTCAAAAGAGACCTTACAGGTAAGAAAGGGCTAGAAAGAAATATTCCAAGTCATGAAATCCAAAGACTTACATCCAAGATTGCTCTATCCAGCAAAGCTTTCATTTAGAATGGAAGAGCAGATAAAGTGCTTCTCAGATAAGATCAAGTTCAAGGAGTTCATCATCACCAAGCCCTTATTATATGAAATGTTAAAGGGACTTATCTAAGACAAAGAAGATAAAAAACATGAACACTGAAAGGACAGCAAACTCAGTCATTAACAGCCACACCTAAAACAAAAGCAAAATAAGTGGACAGCTAGATCAGGAGTGCAACCATAGAAATGGGGATCACATGGAGGGTTAGCAACAGGGGAGTGGGAGGAGGAGTGGGGGAAAAGGTACAGAGACTAAGTAGCATAGACGGTAGGTAGAAAATAGACAGGGGGAGGACAAGAATAGTATGGGAAACATAGAATCTAAAGAACTTGTGACACATGAATATGAACTAAAGGTGGGGGAATGGTGGGGGAGGGGGTGTGCAGGGTAGAGGGGAATGAAGGGGGGGAATAGGACAACTGTAATGTTATAATCAATAAAACATATTTAAAAAATGTGATGCAGTGTTATGTGAAAAAAACCCCAAAACTTATTTTTTCTTTGTCACATTCTTTTTTTGGCAAAGTTAATTTTTATAGATTTTAATGCATTTCATTGTTTATGCTATTACAGCTGTCCCCACATTTTCCCCCTTTGCCTGCCTCGACCCAGCCCCCACCTTCAGGCAATCCCACACCGTTGTCCATGTCCATGGGTTGTGCATATGTGCTTCTTGTCACGTTCTTTATGGTTGCTATTTAGGAACTAATCAACGATTGACTTTTGTGGGAAATATTAATTTGATACATGATTGATCCAAAAAGGGTATTTGTATGTGCTAACAAAGATGTCCTAGCATCAATGCTAGAATTTTAAAAAAAGAGGATGCCTTTTCAGGCCCTGTGTCAGCCTGTGGGGCAGTATGTGAGTGGTGGTGGTATCAGGGAGCTCTTCAAGCACTGCTCAAATCACACCTTGCAGATCAGGTCTCCTGCAGAACTCCCATAGGCCCTTAGAGTGTATTTCAGACTGACAGTTTTTTCTGCCCATACTGCTGGACTTGGAATGAGAGAGTAGATAAAATGTAAATTCTACACATTTGGGAATGAGCAGTTCCTTCTTTTGAATAGATTGGCATGGAGAAGATACAGGTGACAGGCCAGGGGCTGGTGGCAGTCATAAATTATCAGATCCTAAAATTCATATCCTAACAGTACTATTTTAAAGAGGCTTGGGCGCGTAACATCTTATTTTTTCATCTTAAGCATTCATGTTTGATGAAAATGATTTCTCATGTAAATTCATTTATTGTAATTCAATCCTTCCTAAACTCCCTTGATATAGAGTTACAGAATGTTATTTTTCTTTTCCCTCTTGAGAAAGGTGCTAAAAATGCAATACTGCCTTATGGTATATAAATTCATCCAAAATTCTTGCAACAAATTCTCCTGCCTTTTAGAAGCTCTGCCCTTCTATAACTTGTTTTTTGCCTGCCTAGCAAATTATTGTCACATATGTATATATATACATATATTCGATTATATATATTATTAGATTCAATCAAATGTATCCAACTGATCAGTTTACTGCTCCTTCTCCTTTCCTGAGCAATCTATCTTTCCTTACTTCGATGCTTTCAGTCATTTTTTTCCCCTCCCCATGGGATGAATGCACCTTCAGAGTGACCATCCAGGTCTGTGCATGGTCCTTCCAATCCAAAATTATGGCACTGACAGGGGTACCAAGGGATGACTGATGTAAGAACTGGTCACTGAACCTCCTAATATTGACCTCAAAATTATTGAGGCATACAGTTTATCTTTCTGGGGGAATTCTAAGCTGAAATTAACAATGACATGCCAGTTAGTATGAGTTTTGTGAATATTTAGTTTATAGACTGAGGGTTAGGTAAATGTCTGCTAGGCATTGAGAGAGAGTGAAAGAGAGGACCTCCTTTGCTTTGCTGCAGTTGGAAAAGCTGATGGATTCAACCTGCATGTTAAGAGATTCGCTCTGTTCCTCTTGCATGATCAGTGTGATTCAGGGCTCTACTTTGTAGATGGTTTATGCCAGGCAAATGAAGCTGCTCAGCTTTGGGTCTATTGAGTTAATAGTCACTTTGGGACAGCAAGTGAGGAATTCAGCTTCAGGAAGCGAGG